CCCCCCAAATCCCCCCAAATCCCCCCAAATCCCATCCAGGACCCCCCAATCCCCCCCAAATCCCATCCAGGACCCCCCAAATCCCCCCCAGCCCCCTCCCCTCCCCCCCCCTTCTCACCGTGCCCCTCCCCCAGCAGCGCCCCCAGCCCCGGGTGGGGGAGGGGCTCCCGGAGCAGGGCCCAGCTCAGCGAGTCCAGAACCAGAACCGGGCTGGGGGAGGGGAGACCCCCCAGGAGCCCCCCAAAAACCGAGGGGGGGGAGGGGAGCCCCCCCCGGCCCAGCCACCCCAGGGGGTCCCCGGAGAGGTCCCGGAACAGCAGCCTGGAAATGGAAATTTGGGGTGAAACTGGGGGATTTTGGGGAAATTGGGGGATTTCGGGGAGATTCGAGGGGAATTTGGGGGATTTTGGGGAAAAACTGGGGGAAATTGGGGGATTTTGGGGAAAAACTGGGGGAATTTGGGGGATTTTGGGATATTTGGGGGGAAAATTGGGGGGAATTTGAGGGGATTTTGGGGAAATTCAGGGAGGTTTTGGGATATTTGGGGAATTTGAGGGGAGAAATTGAGGAAATTTGGGGAATTTTGGGAGATTTTTGGGAGATTTGCAGAGGTTTTGGGAGATTCGGGGGGAAATTGGGGGATTTTGGGGGAAATTTGGGGAGATTTGGGGGGAAATTGGGAGATTTTGGGAGGGTTTGGAGGGAAGTTGGGGGGTTTGGGGGAATTTGGGGGGAAAATTGAGGAAATTCGGGGGAATTTGGGAGATTTTAGGGGAATTTGATGAAATTCGGGGGATTTTGGGAGATTTTGGGGACGTTTGAGGGAAATTTGGGAGATTCGGGGAGATTTGAGAGGGATTTGGGGAAGATTTGAGGGGATTTGGGGAAAATCTGGGGAAATTCGGGGGATTTTGGGAGATTTGAAGGGAATTTTGTGGCGTTGTAAGGATTTTGGAGGAGTTTTGAGAGAATTTTGGGGTGTTTTGAAGGGTTTTTGGGGTGTTCTGGGGTGTTTTTGAGGGTTTTTTAGGGTGTTTTTGGGTTTTTTGGGGTTTTTTTGGGTGTTTTTGGGGTGTTTTTGGGTTTTTTTGAGGGTTTTTGGGCTCACCTCTCCTTCACGGAGGGGCTCAGCCCCACCTGGAATTCCTCCTTCGTCACCTCCAGGAGCACCACGAGCACCTGTTCAGCCCTGGGGGGCGTTCGGAGCCCTTCGAGACCCCCAAAAACCCCAAAAAACACCCCAAAAAACCCCAAAAACCCCCCAAAACCCCCAAAATCCCCCCAAAACCTCCAAAGCCCCACAAAACCACCCCAAAAATCCACCAAACTTCCCCCAAAAACCTCAAGAAAACCCTCAAAACCCCCAAAAAACCCAAAAAAACAACCCAAAACCTCCCAAAACCCCCAAAAACCTCCAAAACCCCCCAAAAAATCCCACAAAACCACCCCAAAAATCCCCCAAAATCTCTCCAGGAGCCCCCAAAATCGCCTCAAAACCCTCCCAGGTCCCCCCAAACCCCCCAAATCCCCTTTAAACCCTTCCAAAATTCCCGAATATTCCCCAAATCCCACCCGAGAGCCCCCCAAACCCCCTCAAAACATCCCGAAATTCCCAAATTTCCCCAATTTTCCCTCAAAAATCCTCACCTGGCCACGGCCTCGCTGACGAGCGCCCGCAGGAGGCTCCGACCCTCGGACTCGGCGGTGTCTGAGGGGAAAAAACATCCTGGAGAGCCTCCCCGAATTCCCAAACCCTTCAAATTCCCAAAAAAATCCCGAAAATCCCGAAATATTCCCCAAAAAATTCCCGCCAAATCCCCCTCACCCCTCACGAGCAGGAGCCCCCCCGGGCCCAGCGCCTCCAGCATCGTCGCGCGGCGCCTCCTGATGACGTCACGCAACGGCAGCGGGAGCCGCCATTTCCCTGCCGCTGTACGGCAACGGGCGCCGCCATCGCTGCGGCGGCGCTCTCTTAATGACGTCAAACGCGGGCGTCGCGGGTGCGACGTCATCGTACGGCAGAGCGCGGCGCCATGTTGGGTGAGGGGAAAATTTGGGAATTTTATTTTTGGGAATTCTGAGGGAATTTTTGGGATTCCCGCGTTGGGTTTTGCCTCAAATCCTCCGGGTTTGACCCAAAAAAGGAGAAGAGGAGGAAAAAAGCGGCCGCGGAGCGCGCTGGGTCCGGGCTGGGAGCCGCCATTACCGGATGAGGGCGAATTCCTTGGAATTCTCTGGAATTCCCATCGGAAATCCGGGAATTCCCTTTATTTTTTAAACCCTTTTTCCAGGTTTATCCCAGGATTCCCCAAATGAAATCGCGGATGTTCGGAATTCCCAAAAAAATTCCATTTTTATGGATCAAAACCTCCCCAAAATCCCCAAATTTCCACCCCAAATTCCCGAAATTTCCCCCCAAAAAATTCCAGGATTCGGGGTCGTTTTGGCGTCGTTTTATATCCCCAAAAAAATCCAAAAAAAAATCCAAAAAAAA